TAAATTTGGAGAAAGCGGAGCGTGGACGGGATGAAGCGGCTAAGGAAGCAAGAGGCGGCCCAAGCAAGCAGCGGTGAGCCGTGTTAGGGGGTTTTGGATGTGCTGCCGGCTCCCTGCTCCCACCTGGGAAGCGATGCAGGACGGGGAAGGGGCGTTATCGTCGTCAGGCAGCCCCCCGGTCCTCGAATCAAAATGTCACGGTGTTAAAAAGCAAAAGTCGGGTCGCCAGGAGCTCATCTGCTCAGATTTTTGTCCCGTGGAAATCCCACGCTGGGCTCCTTCGGCTAGTTCTGTCGTTGTTAAAGCTGCTCATCGCAGTCGGACGACGCTTCTGCTGCTCGGAATAAAACTTCTTTGCCAGACTGGAGTCTTCTGCTGCCTTGGGCTCGTTCGGTGCTTAAATTTCAAGGACAAGCTGCCACGACAGTTCAGCAGCTCCAAGGGGGAAACTGAGGCAGGGATGTGGTTTTCTGCGTGCCGGAAGGTTCCGATAACCACCTTTTCCCTAAAAATCGCAGGAAAAACAGGCACCGGAATTTGAAAATCCACTGGTGCAGCCACGGCATCTTGCAAATCCTGTGAAAATCCTCTTGCCATTTATGACGGACAATCGATTTGCCAAAAAAACCAACCGAAAAGGGCGAGGGGCTGAAGGAAAAGCCGCATCCGTCGCCCGCACCGCGTGGGAGCAGCCCAACAGACGGGACACGAGCCGGAGGGGGAATCACCGGTCCCAAAACCGCCTCCTGGAGAGGCGGATATGTGCAGATACTCACGGAAATGCTCCTCTATCATCTGCACCAGCCCCACGTTCTGGCTTTCCACCATGCTGAAGGCAATGCCCTTCTTCCCGAAGCGTCCCGTTCGCCCGATGCGGTGGAGGTAGGTCTCGAAATCCGGCTCGCTGTTCTGATCGGTGGGGAGGCTGAAGTTCACCACGATGGTGACCTGCTGCACGTCGATCCCTGAGGGAGAGGGACAGAAGGAGGGGCTGCGGAAAGGGGCCACCTCAAGCGGGAGAGGCCGGGAAGCGCGTTTCAACGCCACTGGAAAGAAAAAAGGCCGTGGGGTTTTTCCGGAAGTACCTCTGGCGCAGACATTGGTGGCGATGAGGACCTTCTCCTTCCCGTCGCGGAAGCGTTGGATGACATCAGCGCGCTGGGCTACCGTCAGCTCGGCCGTCAGGATGGCT